GCATTTTCTAACACATATGTTGGCATGCAGGTCTACACGGACATAGACAGATACAGACACACACCCTCGGCTCCTCCCGCCGTCACGTAGTTTAAAAGTGCAGCCGAGGGGACCAAGCCCATCGGCTCCCCCGGGGCCGGCGGCGGCAGCGCCGCCCGCGCTCCCACCCCTGACCGCCGCCCTCCCCGGACCTTGGCGGGGCCGGTACTCACAGAACCCGTTGGAGCCGGTGCTGGTGAACATGGCAGCGGCCTGGCCCGGCCGGCGGACGCGGCTGGCGGAGCCCCCGAGGCTGGGCAGCCCTCCCAAGGCCGGGCAGCCCCCCGAGGTCGGGCAGCCCCTGAGGAGCCGCGGCGGGCCGGGGCCGGGGCCGGAGCCGCGATGGGGAGGGCTAAGGTGGCCGCGATGGGCCAAACGCCGCCGACAGGCGACCGGGCGGCGCCCCCTGCCGGGCCCGCCGGGCAGGCCTGGGAGTGCCAGGGGGGCGCTTCAGTCTACGTGTGTTGTCTATAATTTATTGCTTGTATCTTCATAAATAGGAAGAATTTCTTTTTGTTGAAGGTGGCAGAGCACTGGAGCAGGCTGCCCAAGGAGGTCGTGGAGTCTCCTTCTCTGGAGACACTCCAAACTCACCTGGACGCGTTCCTGTGTCGCCTGCTCCAGGTGACCCTGCCTTGGAGGGCGGTTTGCACTGGATGGTCTCCAGAGGTCCCTTCCAGCCCTAACGATTCTGTGATTCAATAGGATTTAAATTTGAAATTTGTATGTGCCTTAAGGAAGCCTGACTCCTCACACTTTGGAAAACTGTGGCCCTCGAGGCTCATCCTAATTTGGGGAGTCCGCCAGGCAAGTAGCTCATTAGGAGCTGTGAGTAAGCTGTCATTACAGCTAAGGGAGACATAGTCAATACAGACAGTGGAGTCTGGAGAGCTTTTCAGCTGATCAAATGAAGGTATCTGCTTTAGGATTAAATTAATTGCTACCTACGCTCCACCGGCTGTACTGAACAGATCACCACTACCTCTAATGGTACATCAGACACCCAGCTCTCTAGCAGCATGGTAGACATACAATATATGGTAAGACAAATTCCCCATTTCATACAGATGTGGTATAATAAGGCTGAAATTATTCAGGCACTAAATTTCAATAACATTTTCAAGTCTTTGTAGACTTTATTGAAATAAGTCATGCTAAGCATTTAAAAGGTGACAATGTTCTGCGCTGTGTCAGGAAGAAACAGGATGAGGTTTGTGTGCTGTGTGTTCGTGTGCTTGACAGAACTGAGGACCTCAAGGTCACATTTAACTTACTGCACTACTAGACTGAGAACAAATGTCACTCTAGAATTGGAAAATGTGACGTGTCAGCTAGGTAACAATTTTTAAGCAGGCAACAAATTGTATAAATTTTTCAGGGAAGTCACTAAGTTGTTAAATTGCATAATTTTTTTTATATACAACAAAAAACTAAAATACCTTTTAATATTTACATTCAAATGCAACTACCAAATAGCACTTTAAATGTGAAGATCCTGAATCTTTGTAAACAAATCTCTTAAATACTGCCAAGAGGACATAAAAAAATACTTTATGTTTGGGTTCACAAATACTTAGGCTAAGTTCAGCATATCAGCATGTAATTTTAAAATGTCCAGCTTCCAGCATTAATTTCAAATTTCTGTTGCTCACTTGTCCTCTCTGTACAGAACCCGCAGTCAGGCAGGTAGGAATTGGATTCACAGTCTGCTCACAGAGCGGGAGGTATATCTAAACCAGACAGAAGGAAGAGACAAAGAGACAGCACATTGACTACCCCAGACTGAGGTTCTTTCCCCCGAAAAGAATCTAAATTGGATTCACAGCATGAAACCTATCGCGTACTTCGTGTCTTTGGCTACAGACAACTGGCTTACTCTTTGCTGGTAAGCACAGCTGGAAGAAGTGCTTTGCTACAGAAATTTTCCTTCTTTCTTTCAAATGCAAATGGCTCTGGCTGCTGTACGTTACATATGCAAATTCTGTCTTGCCAGTGTGCTGCTGAATGCGCAAAACCATACATAAGTGACAGGCAATCCTCATTTCTAAGGAAAGGGAACATATATAAGGAGGTGCAAAGCCTGCATAGCTTGTAATAGTTCCAGCATGAAACTTTCTTTGGGAAAAGCTTGGGTGCCTCCTGAAGCTTTAGGGATTTAACGAGGTATTCATGGTCTAATTAATTACCATTTTGGACTTTTTTGACTAACCTTCACTTAAAGTAATTAAGCCTTTTTGTGGATCTGACTTTAGTACAGGTGAGGATAAAACCTGAAAACTTTTCCAGCATTGCCTGTGTAATAGGCTTAGGATTGTTGTTTCAGTGCTGAAGATAAAGCTTGCTTTTATTTCTTTCACAGTTACACAGAATTGAGTGACAAAATTTAGAAGTTTACAGTCCTGAGACCCAAGAACTAGTGTTCATTTTTATAAGCTCTGTTTTGAAGATTTCCCTAAATTGATGTCCTACAAGGTAATCATATTAGAGGGATTCTCCTCTGCAACGTCAAGCACTGGAATTGGATTGAAGTCATAATCACTGAGCATAGTAGAGACTTGGGCATGTATTCTGCTGAATGAGGATGCATTTGGGCAAATATTTAAGGACTATTTTGAAAGCAGCTCTATGGACTTGTTATCATTGACAGATACAACAAAGCTGAATGAGCAGCAATAATTGGCAAGCTTCTCCCAACAACATACCAAAATACTTGCAGATTTGTCAATATTGCTGGAATAAAGGGAGCTGGCTCTGAATTTTTTTGCCACTATCTTGTTAAAGTGTACAAATATACTATGGAGTGTTTGTGAAACATCTAATGACGTCCATTGTTTCTAAAAAGGGTTTATTAAGTCAGTTTTTCTGAGATTAGATGAGATGAGATCCACTATGTGTTTTTGAGAAAACTGCACACCCCTTGCTAATAATTATATTTTCACATACTGATTGAATAGTAGAGGAAGTGTAGTTTTTGCCCTCAGATACAGTGCCAAGTAGAGAGGGTGTTTTCTATCCCAACACTGCTTCTGTCAACTGGTAGTGTGTCATAAGAATTAAGCAAATTATTTGCATTTTTAAGTGTACAGTGTTGACTACTTTGGAGTTAAATGAAATCATCAGTCCTCATGCTTGCCTTGGAACATATCCCAGAATAGGAAGGCTAGCACTTATCTACTAATCTACTCAGAACAAGCTTAGAAGGCTTTGACACTGCTCAAATGTCAGCTTAAATATCTCCCATTTGTTTATTACATCTAGTTAGTGGGGTCAGTTTGGTATGGTCAAAATAAAGTTATTTGAATTTCCTACACAAAAGAAAGTTCCAGGAGTCTGGAATTTATATTTCCAACTATTTTCTAACATGATTAGGTTGCTTTCTTCTCTGAACTTGTGATGTTTTTGAAGCACCTCTTAATTACTAATTAATCTCCAATGGTCAGATGCTCCCCTGGCATATAGAATGAAGGATAACAGCAGAGTAAAACAGGGTGGAAATGTAAAACCTTGCCCAGGAATTTTCTGACTAAACTTGGTGTAGGTTAATGATTCTGCAGGTTAATGGCAAGTGGTCTATGCCTCTTTGACATCTGAGGTTTCTGTGGCATTCAAAGTAGCACCTGCATATTAGCAGGACCTGAAATATTAGCAAATACCTGAAGATAGGTTAATGCTAAACTTGATGATTTCAGTAACTTCTCCCTACAGTTTCTAACCCTTGTCTTCAGTTACAGAAGATGTTAAAGAAGAAAGATGTGCACCATACAAACCCTGCAGAGGAGAGTTCAGCAGCAGTGCAGCTTGCTGATAGCAGCTTGCATGGGAACAGGAGGAAGGGTGGGAGGCAAAGATTCACTGGGCTGAAATCAGACTGATTTGTTCTGTACCTTTACAAAATTAGTGAGTTTCTCTCAATCCCTCAGAAGTGAACAAAAACTTTGTACTGCGGCAGACCTGCTGTCCTCTTAAACTGTAGTGTGTTTGTTTTATTACATAGCTGTTTGGGTTTTTTATTATAGCTAGAAGATACAGAACATTTTCTAGCTTAGTTGTCTCCATGTAGAGCTGGTAGGCTTACAGTTAATGTGGGGAGCAATGGAGTGGCTGAAGAAGGAACCTTTAGGTGTTTCTTAAGTTCTAGAGTGTGCAAAGGAAGGCAATTTAGTGGAAAAAATTGCAAGAGTATTGGTTTTTGTCTGTTATTTTTGCATTTGATTTTGCATCACACTATTATAAAAAATGTAGGGTGCTCAGCCGTTTTACATTACCTATGGTTCTAGCCGTGAGGTTTTTTGCAAAACTTTAAATGCCACGTTAAACCTGAACTCCTTGTCAATGTTTAGTAATATGACTATGTGGAAAACTATCACGCCAATAACTCAAACATAACTCACACAGAACTGTCTGTTTTTTCCGCGGGAACCCCTGGATGGCAGGCAATCACAGTGCAATACCAGTTTAAGGTACTGGCTTATCTGGAGCTGAGCTACGAACAGTTTTACACTGAAAGACTTAACCATCATTTCCCTTTTAACTGTCGACCACGTGATCCTAAGAACTCACACCACATGCACCCGTATGGTGGCATCTCTGTTCAAGGTACAGCACCAAACACTTGATCAGCAGCTTTGTCTCTTAAGTACTTGTAAAACACTCCGTTAAAGGTGTCATAATTAAATTCTCTGTCACATTTATTTTCAATAAAGGTTGAGATTCTGTGCAAAACAAGAACACACAGTAGCATAACCAGGAATTAGAATCTAATACAAATATATTGGGAAAGCAAGCTTAAGATAGGCAGATTGATTCTGATGTTTCTTAACTGTTGATTTTCATCTGAGTTTTTAATGTTTTGTGTTCATATTTCATTTCACTTGGGTGAGACCTCATTCTTTTGAGAATTAAAAATAGACTGGTTCAGCTACTACTGGTTGAGCAGCTATCACTGCATTTTAGATCATGCGTCTGAAGGTAAATTGTGAAACATAGTAAGCATTAACAAAATGATGATGTTAAAACATAGTGCTCAGAAGACCCAATTAAGGAATCCATTAGGAGGGCAAATAATTATGTATAGCATTGCATAATATAATATACTTTGTATATCTGTGTTCTTTAGTGCATACAAGAGATCAAGAACCAGTCGTCTATTTCAGACTGAATTTATGTCAAGGAGTACCTTTGAGATCCAGAGCATATGCTAAATTACCCAAGTTAATTATCATTGATAGCAAAAAAACTTAAACCTTTAAGATGCAGAAAATTAGTTGCATTGTTCTGCACAGGTATGGCTGTGCTGAAATTGCCTATTCTGAAAATTAGATTTTAAAATTTATTTATTAGGGTATTCAGAGGCCTTTTTTCTCCCTGATGCCTATCCATATTTCTCAGATATCATCCCCCTCTTGCTTCACATCCGTATTGTAGTGCTATCTGTGTATCTCCACACAGTGTAAAGGTTATTAAATACCTGTATTTACACTTGGAGGCAAATCTGTGTTTAAGAGAATACCTGGCAACCCACATCATGATGTTATCAGGCCTGTAGCATAACACTGCTGAGAGATTAGAAAAAACAATAAAGCTTTAAGCAGTTCTCCTCCCCAAATGTCATTATCTTATTTGTATTTGTGTTAAATTTGAGCATGAAGGAATAGTGTCATCTTTTTTTTTCCCTAGTTACTCATATCAGAGGAAGTTTATGTTCATATAATTTTATTGAAATACAGTGATTCCTCAGAAAATCTTGCAAAAAGTTAAAGGATGTTCACCCCAGAAATGTACTTGCACAGTATTTGCAATACAAATATGTACACCTCCAGGAAATAAGCATTCCTGGGGTTTCTTTTGACCTCCATAAATGTTAGTAAGGGCAAGGTCAGGTGCCAAAAACCCATAGCATTGTACAAAAATGTAAAATTTTGCCCGCTGCGGCCATTAAATTGCCATCAGAAAACTAAGCTGCTTTTCATCATCAGAAAGAGGAACTACTGTAAAAACAATTGGTGCATTGATAAATCACATTTATCAATGTGATTAGAGTTATTGGAGACACAAAAATATGGGTTATTACAATTATTCTTGATTCTATGCTGCTATTATCTGTTTGCTGCTATATCATTATTCTAGGGAGATTTCTAAAACTGAAGATTGGATCTAGTCTAAGACTGAAATATAAAACTAATTAAACACAAAAGTTGGCATTCTTACTTTTCCTTTACTTCCCTTCTCTGCACATAGGAAGTATTTCTTGTTTTTCTTGCTGATCACAATTTAATATACCTAGAGCACTTTATAAATTGGTGTACTACAAAAATCTGTGCTTGTGGGGCCAGTTGTAGCAGAAATCACCACCTATGGCAAAGAAATCTTTCCTGGCATGATGATGCACTCAGCTGCCATTTTAGGCTCTTCCTCACCTCACCCAAGAGGTGGGACAGTGCCTGTTTCTGGTCAGCTGGCGCAACAGTGAGAGCAGTTTGCCAAGACAGACTTGACTGGTTTGTTAAACCAGAGAAACAAGCATTGACATTTTGTGCCACCATAATTTTCAAAGTAAACCCCAAAATACCTGGATAATGATGCTTCCAGGGCACCTCTCCACATGGCCTTCAGTCTGGACAGACCAGCCTGGGCTTCAAGCCTCTGTGAACCTGGGTGGCTTGGTGGCTCCTGTGAAGCAAACCCAGGGGAAATGAGACAGCAATCAGGAATTCATTGCAAAAGGAGGAACTGGAAGGCCTTATTTTAAGGGGTGTGTAAAGCACACCATTAATCTTTTCTATTGTTACACACACATGCTGGAGCTCTTGCCACACAGACTCTGGGGACAGAGGCAACTGCCCATGCTGGGCGGCTGGAGCCCAGTGACGTTCTATGTGCTCATACAGTGATCTGACAGTTGTGCCAAAGGTTGTGTCAAGGCCATTTCTGGCCCTTAAGAAACAGTGATGGAATAACAAATCGCCTCATACTGGAACTCAAGTTTACTGCTTTGTCCCTACTGTAAACTAAGTTAGCAAGCTTTTTAAGCAGGAGAAAAATAAATCAGCAAAGTCAATAAGTACGTGCTCCTTTGTACATACAAGACATGCATTCACTGCAGCATTTGTTCCTTAAGCAAGTATTTGATCTCTGGGTATATATACTAGTAAGTATGTATTTTCAACACAAATCATGTTACACAGATAACAAGAAAGGGTTAGTACAAATACTGGTTTACTTCACAAGTACTGGACAGGACACTGCTGTTGATTAATTTTGTGTGTGAATGTATATCGAGAAGAAAGTTTTCTTAGCCATTTTCCTAAGGCTTTTATTCCAGATTTCAGTGCAGTTAGTCCTTCCACAACAGCATGGTTGAGGTCTCAATAAAAAATGATTTGAGCATATTATCCAGTCAATATGAGTAAGAACTGATACGTTTGTACATACAGGAGAAGCAAATTGTAAGCTGAATTCAACAGTAATGATCTTGCTAGTGACATGTACATTTGGGGGCAAAAATTAAGAGTTTGTATCCTAGGCTGCATCCTACAAATTCCAGAAATCTTGCTTGCTCGTAGGTAAATTCTTTTCATCTAAAGACAGACACCATCTCCAGGAAAAGCATCAGTTTGGAGCTTAAGTATCTGTATTTGATGCAACACTTGAGATGTGTCAGTACATTACACCGTAAAACAGGAAAGAATAAAAATGCAAAAAAACCCCAGTATGTCAGACCCAGGTGATT